GAGGAGGAGGAGGAGGAGGAGGAGGAGGAGGAGAGAGAATATAACTTTTCAATATTCCCATGTTTTGAATTGCAGGACATTCCTCAGTGTAGCTCTTGTTCCATGCATGGGGGATTACAAAAAAACTGTGGAGATACTGGGTTGATTCTAATGTTTTCATCCAGGAGTCAAACAACCAAGTTTGTAAGTTTTGGGAGACAAGGGATATCATCATGGATAGGATATTTATAGAGTTATGGGTTGTATAATCACAACATGTGTGTGTTCTCTGAGGAATATCCCTCAAGTTACTTTATTTTTTCTGTTTATACTCTATATAACTATGTAGATGGATATATCAGCAAGCTAACTGCTCTGACTTATGAAGACCTTGGAAATATTAGAATATACAAATGAAAATATGACATTTTGCATTACCATCCAATTCTAGGACACAAGGCATAGTGAGTGGATAGTTACAGTAAAATACCTGAATTTTAATGGACAGGCTGCTTAACATATTTGGCAAATTCCATCACTGTTGTATAAATAGTAGATGGTCTTTTTAATTAAAAAATGGAAGCTGATATTGGGGTAAATTCTGATATAAAGGAGAAACAAATGAATAAGCCACTTCCATATCTAAATTTGCCATCTCCATGGATCTTCTGAAGGAATGTTTCTGATTCCCTAGGCAAAAGCTATCCAGGCAGATAGCCTCTAGTTCCTGTCTCTTCAGATCTTATACACTGTTGTCTGCCCAGCCATCACTTCTTTCCTAGTGCTTCAGTTAATGGCATAAGTGCTTCCCAAATACTGGGATTAAAGGTGTGAGATCTCAAGTACAAGAGTTAAAGGCAAATGACTACGGAGTATAAGAATTAAAGGTGTATTCCAACAATGCCTGTCTTTGTTTCTCTCCTAGACTGAGTCAATCCTATGTAGTTCAGGGTAGCTTTGAAGGCTGTGGGATACCAAGAGATCTCTGATTCCCCAGTAAAAGGTTTACAGGTGTGTCCCACCACTCCCTGTCCTCTATGTTTAATGTAGAGGCTTGATCTCTGCTCTGTTCTTCAAGCACATTATCTATGGTACACACTATATCACCATACGAACCTGGGATTCACATTATGTTCATCTCACATTGATGTGCACCTCATCGTGCCACTAAAATATGATGGCTATTTAAGCATATCTCTACTCTTGAAATTGTATCAGCTGCATGTGCATACATAATTCTTTCACTATGAAAACCAGGGCATATTCTAATATATCCCATGGAAGAATAGTGGAGTGATAGATGTATGAGTGGCTTATAATATTTAGTAAGCTGACAAAAGTGGAAAAATTTTTTCTCAAGTATTCTAGCCCTAAGATGCTGCCCATGGGCTAGAGTTGGTCTCATACCCATGCATACTCATGTGAATTTCATGAATAAAGATAACAAAAGTAGAGCAAGTACATGATCAAAAGATGGAGTAGTCTTTGCGGACTAATTATAATGATGGGAATGTAGTGAATTTGTTCAAAAATTTCAATAATCACACATTAATACTGAACAGGAAATTGTATGAGTATGAATTGCAACTGTGAAAACAAAATTAATGCAGAATGCGTGAAGACATGTGTGGATCCACACCAAAAATAAAACGGAGAAATGTGCAATTGCTGAAGGTATATATGCATCTTGAGTATTTCTTTCTGAAAGGAATATATCAGATTATGGCTTAATCAACATGACACTTTAAACTATGATATGCAAATTGGGGATTTTCAGGGCAGTGCTTCATGGACACCTCTCTATCTTCAATACAAGCATCCCAATTCAGGCATTCATGTAAAACCACACACACACACACACACACACACACACACACACACACATATATATATATATATATACACATATATATGTATATGTGTGTATATATATATATATACACATACTGTTCTTATAACAACTGAATTTCAAGCATTTAATCATTTCTGTTGGGGAAGCTAATATTTCATGTCAGAAACTGGCAGCAGCAAGCAGCAACTGTCAGCAGAGAATCAAAATCATCCAATTCTAGGCAGAAACGGAGGCTTTTGTGTAGATTGGCAGGATGTAGACATAAGCAGAGGGATAAATCATCATCCACTATTTTCCTCAGGTTTTTTTTAAACTATTGATAATTGGAGTGAGGAATCAGGATTAATTACGTTCTTTCCCTATCATCCACTTTCAGTTTCGCTGCTTCTGCTACTACATGTATTCAGAGGGAGACAAGAATGAGTCAGCAGCTCCTGTGTTCATCTCCAAGGTAACCTCAGGATTTGCCTCCATTGCTGAAATTGAGATCACTGTCCTTATTGGTTCTTATTCTATGATGAATTTGAATGCACACTGTCCTTCAATCAGAAGCAAGGAGTGCTTATAAAAGCGACAGCATTGCGAGCTCTTACCAGTCAGGCTTTGGCCATATTCCAGGACACAGTGGATCCTGGGTATGACTAAAGCCCGACTATACATTGGACAGGCAAGGCAGACTACTCCTGACATGTACAGGAGTCAGAGCCTGTAGAAATCAGAAACGACAGGGACTTTTTGATTCTCTGCATTATAACTCCTAATCACCTGCTCTGTCTCCTGTGCAAGAAGTAGTATCATGCTTCTGATGCAACTGCTTCTCTGTTAAGATTTGATATTGCTGTGTAGACTTGAAATGCTGTATCATCTGTTAGGAAGGTAGTCCATTGCAGACGTTAGTATATGAGAGATACTGGCAGGGTCAGGTTCCTTTCTTCTACCAGGGAAGGTACTGTGGGAACTATTACGGCATAGTGAGTGTTCACTACCAACCCCTAGAGTTTAGATATATATTACTCAGTGATATTTGTTGGAGAAATCCTATCATACAAGGCATGCTTTCACAATTAAATGTAATACAAGAAAATAAGTTTGATCACCCTATTTCAATTTATCATCACAGATTAAACTCTCCAAACTTGATTCGAATTCCCCTTTTATTTTGGCGTATAGAAGCCCTAGCTCTTTTGTACTTTTTCCTACTCAGCCCATTCCTCTTTATGTCATCAGGCCAGACCTGAGATTTGTTACAAATCAATTATTTACTGGTGCTGAGTGGATGGTATTATATATTTACCTTTTAAATAATTCATACTCTTGATTTCTTGTTTCTTGGTTATAATTTGTTTGTTTGTTTACTTTTCTTTGTTTGTTGTGTAAGTGTGCAGATCTTGTTTCTGTAACCCCCGCCCATGAACTCCTCTGTCTGATATTACATTGGAGACTAGATAGCACTGTTTCTAAGGATTCATCTACCACCTCAGAATCTGTTAGTTTTTTTCTGCCTTCTTTTCAACATAGAATATTGATGCTTTCTGGGTGTGTGAGATGAAGTCAAGTAACATCACTAATAGTACACCAAAGCTGTCAGGCATATAGAGAGAACCCAACTGCATATCCTTGCTTTATATCCCAATTAGTCCCTGATGAAAAATCTCTGGTTAGAGACATTTGATGCTCAGATCCAACAGGTACATACATGGGAGCCCACCGAGTTTTGCTAGTGATATCTGAGCTTGCTTTACCAGGAAGGCTGCATAAGAAGTGTTAAACCATGGGCCTGATTACTAAGTGTATTTAGGCATCGACACTTGTTTTTGACAATTGGAGATGGTGGTAAATTTATCAATTTTACTGACATTTTTATAGTGCTGTTAGCTGTAGTTTGAAATTAACAGAGCTAGGGGACTATGAGTAGAAATAATAGCTGTATTAATGGCTTAGTAAGCAGTCCATAGAAGCCTCATTGTGCCAAGAATTGTTATAATGACATTAGTTTTAAAAAGAAGAAGGGAGAACATAACTTTTCAGTATTCTGATATTTTTAAGTGCAGGACATTCCTCAGTGTAGCTCTTGATCCATGTATGAGGGATTACAAAAGAGGTGTGGAGATACTGGGTTCATCCTATCTAGGAAGCATACAACCAAGTTTTATAGTGGTGGAAAAACAGGATAGCATCAGAGATAGGAAATTCATGGAGTTAATGGTTGCATAACCACAACATGTGTGTGTTTTCTGAGTAATATTCCTCAAGTTATTTATATTTTCCTGAGTGTTGTCTACCCCAGAATGTAGATGGTTATAGCAGCAAGCTAACTGTTTAGAATTATGAAGAACTTGGAAAGGTTATTACAATATACAAATGAAAATATGGCATTTTTATTCCCATCCAATTCTAGAACAAAGGCATAGTGAGTGGATAGTGAGAGTAAAATACCTTAGTTTTATAGGACAGTTTGCTTAAGATATTCTGAGAATTTCATAACTGTGTACAAATAGTAGATGGACTTTTTAATTAAAAATAAAAAACTCAGAAGCTGATATTGAGGGTAATTTCTGATATATTGGAGAATCAAAAGAACAAGACACTGGCATGTCTCACTCTGCCAACCCCATGAATCCTCTGAATGAATGTCTCTGAGTCCTTAGCCCAAAGCTATCCAGGTGAAAAGCCTCTAGTTCCTGTTTCCTCAGGCCTTATCTACCTAGGTCTGCCCTGCCATCACTTCATTCCCAGTGCCTGGTTTAATGGCATATGTGCTTTCCAAATAGAGGGATTAAAGATGTGAGATCTCAAGTGCAGGTATTAAAGGCAAATGACCACCAAGTACTAGAATTAAAGGTGTATTCCAGTAATGCCTGGCTTTGTATCTCTATTAGACTGAGTCAATCCCATGTAGTCCATGTTAGCTTTGAAGGCGTTGAGATACAAACAAATCTCTGCATCCTAAGTGAAAGGATTTTAGGTGAGTGCCACAACTTCTTGGCCTCTATGTTTAATCTACTGGCGTTTTCTGTGCTCTGATCTTCAGGCATATTACTTATGGTACACAATATATTACGATACATACTGGGGAGAAACACTATATCTTTCTGACATTGGTGTGCACCCCTGCATGCCACTAAAATGTGATGTCTATTTAAGCATTCCTGTACTCTTGAAACTGTATCAGCTGCATATGCATGCATAATTCTTTCACTCTCAAACTCAAGGAACATTATAATGTATCCTGTGGAAGAATGGTGAATTGAAAAATGTATGAGTGGCTTATATTTTTTAGTAAGCTGATAAAATTGGAAAGATAGATTTTCTCACGTGTTCTAGCCCTGGTACTCTGCCCTTGGGCTAGTATTAGGTCTCATACCCATGCATACTCAGGTGCTTTACATGAACACAGATAACCAAAAATAGAGCAAGTACATGATCAAAGTATGGAGTAGTGATTGCAGACTAGAGGGAATCTAGTGAAGGGAATGCAGTGAATTTGTTCAAAATTTTAATAGTTACACGTTAATTCTGAAAAGGAATTGCATGAATATGAACTGGCATTGTGAACCAAATTAATGCCAAATGCATGCAGACATGTGTGGATCCACACCAAAAATGAAACAGACAAAAATGCAATTGCTGAAGGTATATATGTATCATGAATATGTCTTTCTAATAGGAATATATTAGATTATTGCATGATCAACACGACAGTATAAGATACGATATGCAATTTAGGTATGTTCAGAGCAGGTCCTCCAGGTCAATTCCTTATTTACAATACAAGCATCCCTTTCCAGGCATTACACACACACACACACACACACACACACACACACACACACACACACACATGCACACGCACAGACACACATATATGTTGCTCATGTCACAACTGGACTTCAAGCATTTAATCATTTCTGTTGGGGAAGCTAACATGTCATATCTGAAACTGTCAGCAGCAAGCAGCAACTGTCAGCAGAGAATCACAATCGTCCATCGCAAGGCAGAAACGGAGGCTTTTGTGTAGATAGGCAGGATGTAGACACCAACAGAGGGAAAATTGATTACCCCCGACATGCCAGAGGTTGTTTTTTTCCTTTGGATAATTGGAGTGAGAACCCAGGATCAATTACCTTCTTTTCCTCTCATCCAATTTCAGTTTCGCTGTTTCTGCTGCTACCCATATTCAGGTGGGAGACAAGAATGAGTCAGCAGCTCCTGTGTTCTTCTCCAAGGTAACCTCAGGATTTGCCTCCATTGCTGAAATTGAGATCACTGTCCTTATTGGTTCTTATTTTATGATGAATTTGAATGCACACTGTCCTTCAATCAGAAGCAAGGAGTGCTTATAAAAGCGACAGCATTGCGAGCTCTTACCAGTCAGGCTTTGGCCATATTCCAGGACACAGTGGGTCCTGGGTGTGGCTAAAGCCCGACTATACACTGGATATAAAAGGCAGACTGCTCCTGACATGTACAGGAGTCAGAGCCTGTGGAAATCACAGCAAAGGCAGGGATTGTTTGATTCCCAGGATTATAAGTCCTAGTCACCTGCTCTGTCTTCTGTGCAGGAAGTAGCTTCCTGCTTCTGAAGCAACTGCTTCTCTGTTAAGATTTGATATTGCTGTGTCAGACTTGAAATGCTGTATCATCTCTTAGGAAGGTAGTCCATTGCAGACATTAGTATTTGACAGACACTAGTGGAGTTAGGGTCCTTCCTTTACCCTGGAAGGACACAGTGGTACTTCTCTGGCATTGTCAGTGTTCACAAGCAAACCTTAGAGTCTATGAATACAGCACACATTGACATTTGCTGACCCTACCTGTCACAAAAAGCATGCCTTCGCAATACATATGTAGTGCAGGATATTAAGATGTTATCATCCTGTTGTCATTTATACTCACAGATTCAAATTTGCAAGCTTGATTTGCATTCTCCTTGTACTTTGGCATATACAACCTGTAGTTCTTTTGTTCTTCTTTCCTAGGCAGCCCATTCCTCTTTATGTCATGAAGCTAGGCTTGAACATTTTCTGAAAATCAATTATTTACTGGTGCTCTGAGGATGGTATTACATAGTTCCATTCTAAGTTATTCACAGACCAGATCTCTTTGTTCTTTTTTATTTATTATTATTATTATTATTATTTATTATTATTATTATTTATTTTACAACACCATTCAGTTCCACATAATAGCCACAGAATCCCCTGCTCTCCCCCTCCCACATCCCTCCACCTTCCCCCAGCCCACCCCCCATTCCCACCTCCTCCAGATCAAGGTCTCCCCTGAGGACCGGGATTGACCTGATAGACTCAGTACAGGCAGGTCCAGTTCCCCCCCTCCCAGACTGAGCCAAGCGTCCCTGCATAAGTCCCAGGATTCAAACAGCCAACTCATGCAATGAGCTCAGGACCCGGCACCACCGCACAGCTGCCTCCCAAACAGATCAAGCCAAATGACTGTCTCACCCATTCAGAGGGCCTGATCCAGTTGGGGGCCCCTCAGCCTTTGGTTCATAGATCCTGTGCTTCCATTCATTTGGTTATTTGTCCCTGTGCTTTATCCAACCTTGGCTTCAACAATTCTCGCTCATATAAACCCTCCTCTTTCTCACTAATTAGACTCCCAGTACTCCACCAGGGGCCCAGCCGTGGATGTCTGCATCCAGATTCCTCAGTCTTGGATCGGGTTTATGGCACAACTGTCAGGGTGTTTGGCAATTCCATCACCATAGTAGGTCAGTCCCGGCTATCTCTCGACCATTGCCAGCAGTCTTTTGTGGGGGTATCTTTGTGGATCTCCGTGGGCCTCCCTAGCTCTGTTTCCTCCCCTTCTCATGTGGTCTTCATTTACCATGGTCTCCTATTCCTTGTTCTCCCTCTCTTTTCTTGATCCTGCTAGGATCTCCCGCTCTCTTTCCCTCGACCGTCGCCCTTCATTGCTTCCACTCATGACCAGGCTGTTCATGTAGATCTCATCCATTTTTCCGTGTCTTTTTTGGGGTCCCGTTTTCCAGGCAGCCTCACTGGTGATGTGAGTAGCAGTCCAGTCATCCTTGTTCCACATCTAGCATCTTCCTATGAGTGAGTACATACCATATTTGTCTTTCTGAGTCAGGGATGCAAGGGTGGTTCAACATACGAAAGTCCATCAATGTAATACACCATATAAACAAACTCAAAGAAAAAAAGCTACATGATCATCTCACTAGATGCAGAAAAGGCATTTGACAAAATCCAACACCCCTTCATGATAAAAGTCTTGGAGCGATCAGGAATACAGGGAACATACCTAAACATAATAAAGGCAATATATAGCAAGCCAACAGCCAACATCAAATTAAATGGAGAGAAACTCAAAGCAATTCCACTAAAATCAGGAACGAGGCAAGGCTGTCCACTCTACCATACTTATTCAATATAGTACTTGAAGTTCTACCCAGAGCACTAAGACAACATAAGGAGATTAAGGGGATACAAATTGGAAAGGAAGAAGTCAAGCTTTCCCTATTTGCAGATGACATGATAGTATACTTGAGTGACCCCAAAGATTCCACCCAGGAATTGATAAAGCTTATAAACACCTTCAGCAACATAGCAGGATACAAGATCAACTCAAAAAAATCAGTAGCCCTCCTATATACTATGTCTTTGTTCTTTTTTATGAGTTGTTTGTTTGTGTGTTGTGTAACTGTGTCGATCTTGTCTCTGTAACTTCAGCCTTTGAATTCCTATGTCTTATAATACATTCATCTACCACCTCTGAATCTGTTAGATTTTTTTCTGCCTTCTCTTTGACATAGACTCTTGATTCTTTTTGGGTGGGAGAGATGAAGTCAAGTAACATCACAGACAGTACAGCCAAGCCTGACAGGCATATATATACACTTGTTTCTAACAATTGGAGATGGTGGTAAATTTATCAATTTTACTGACATTTTTATAGTTCTGTTAGCTGTAATTTTCTAATTAACAGAACCAGGAGGGTATGAGTAGAATTAATGGCTGTATTAACGGCTTAGTAAGTAGTTAATAGAAGCTTCATCATACCAAGAAGTGTTATAATGACATTAGATTTAAAAAGAAGAAGAAGAGAGAACATAACTTTTAGGTATTCCAATAATTTGATGTGCAGGACATTCCTCAGTGTATCTCTTGATTCATGTATAAGGGATTACAAAAGAAGTGTGAAGATACTTTTTTTTTAATCTAGGAAGCAGACAACCTAGTTTGAATGTGGTTGAAAAAAAGGATAGATTCAGAGATAGGATTTTCATGGAGTTATTGGTTGCATAATCACTACACGTGTGTGTTTTCTAATATCCACCAAGTTACTTTATGTTTTCCTGAATATAGTCTACTCCACAATGTAGATGGATATATCAGCAAGCTAACTGTTCAAAACTATCAAGAACTTGGAAATATTATTAGAATATACAAATAAAAAAATGACATTTTCGTCACTATCCAATTCTTGGAAACAAGACATAGGTAGTAGATAGTTAATGTAAAATACCTGAGTTTTAATGGACAGTTTGCTTAAAATATTTGGGAAATGCCATAACTGTTGTACAAATTGTAGATGGATTTTTAAATAAAAAACAAAACAACCAAACAGAAACAGAAGGTGATATTGGGGTAAATTATGACAGAAGGGAGAAAGAAAGGAACAATCCATTGCCGTGTGTCATTTTTCCAACTCCATTAATCCTCCGAAAGAATGTCTTTGAGTCCTTAGATGAAAACTATCCAGGCAAAAAGACTCTAGTTCCTCTATCTTTAGGCCTTATACACCTTTGTCTGCCCAGCCATCACTTCTTTCCTAGTGCTGGGATTAATGGCATATGCACTTTCCAATTACTGAGATTAAATGTGTGATATCTCAAGTATAGGCATTAAAGGCAAATGACTACCAAGCATTCGAATTAAAGGTGTATTCCAATAATGCCTGCCTTGTTTCTCTCCTTGACTGAGTCAATCCATTATAGTCAATGGTAGCTTTGAAGGCTGTCATTTAAAAACAGATCACTGCTTCCCCAGTGATATGATTTCAGGTTTGTGGCACCATTTCCTGTCTTTTATGTTTAATCTATTGGTGTGTTTTCTGCTGTGATATTCACACACATTATTTAGGGTACACAATATATCACCACTCATACCGGGAAGAAATACTATGTCTGTCTGACATTGGTGTGCACCTCTGCATGCCATTACAATGTGCTGGCTATTTAAGCATACCTCTACTTTGAAACTCTATCAGCTGCATATGCATGCATAATTCTTTTACTATGAAACCCAGGAAACATTCTAATGTATCCTGTGGAAGAATGGTGAAGTGAAAAATGTGTGAGTGACTTATATTAATGATTAAGCTGAAATAAGTGGAAAGACAGATTTTCTCCACTATTCTAGCCCTGAGATTCTGTCCATGAGCTAATAGTAGGTCTTATAACCATGCATACTCAGGTGATTTACATAAACAAAGATGACAAATAATTGAGCTAGTACATGATCAAAGGATGGAGTAGTGATTGCAAACTAAATGTAATGAAGGGAATGTAGTGAATTTGTTCAAATTTTCAATAACCACACATTAATCGTGAACAGGAAATTTTATGAGTATGAAATGGAACTGTGGAACAAAAACAACCCCAAATACATGCATACATGTTTGGAAACACACAACAAATCAAACAGACAAATGTTCAATTGCTGAAGGTATATATGTATCATGAATATATCTTTTTAAAAGGAATACATCAGATTATTGCTTAATGAACATGACACTGTAAGATATGATATGCAACTTAGGGATGTTCAGAGCAGGGCTTCTAAGTCATATCTCTATTTACAATGCAAGCATCCCATTTCAGGCACTATGTACACACACACACACACACACACACACACACACACACACACACACACATTTCTCTCAGGTCACAACTGAATTTCAAATATTTAATCATTTCTGTTGGGGAAGCTGACATGGCATATCAGAAACTGTCAGCAGCAAGCAGCAACTGGCAGCAGAGAATCACAGTCATTCATCTCTAGGCAGAAATGGAGGTTTTCATGTAGATAGGCATTATGTAGACACAAGTAGAGGGATAAATGATCATGCCCTACTTGCCACAAGTTTTTTTTCCTTTTAATAATTGGAGTCGGAACCCAGGATCAATTACATTCTTTCCCTCTCATCCACTTTCAGTTTCACTGCTTCTGCTTCTACATGTATTCAGAGGGAGACAAGAATGATTCAGCAGCTCCTTTGTTCATCTCCAAGGTAACTTCAGGATTTGCCTCCATTGCTGGAATTGTGATCACTGTCCTTATGGGTTCTTATTCTCCAATGAATTTGATGCACACTGTCTTTTAATCAGAAGCAAGGAGTGCTTATAAAAGCGACAGCATTGCGATCTCTTACCAGTCAGGCTTTGGCCATATTCCAGGATATAGTGGCTCCTGGGTATGACTAAAGCCTGACTATACATTGCATGGACAAGGAAGACTGCTCCTGACACGTACAGGAATCAGAGCCTGTGGAAACCAGCAAGGGCAGGGATTGTTTGATTTCTACCATTGTAACTCCTAGTTACTAGCTCTGTCTCCTGTGCAGGAGATAGCATCCTGCTTCTGAAGTAAAACATCTTTTTAAAGGTTGATATTGCTTTGTCAGACTTAAAATGCCATAACATATGTTACCAATGTAATCCATTTCAGAACTTAGTATATAACAGATGCTTTTGGTGTCAGGCTCCTTTCTTCACCCTGTGAGGATACTGTGGGAACTGATATGGCATTGTCAGTGTTCACAAGCAACTCTTAGTGTCTATGAATATATCAGGCTGTGACATTTGCTGATAAGACCCTACCTGTCACACAAGGCATGTCTTCACTATAAAATGTAGTGCAGAAAATTAAGATTTTATCATCCTGTTGTCATTAAACATCACAGATTCAACTTTCCAAGCTTGATTTCCATTCCTCTTGTATTTTTGCCTATATAAACTATATAGATCTTTTGTTCTTCTTTCCTAGTCAGCCCGTTCCTCTTTATGTCATTAGGCCAGTACTAATCTTTGTTGGAAATCAATTATTTACTGGTGCTGAAGGGCTGGTATTACATATTTACCTTGAAAGTAATTCACACACCAGATTTCCTTGTTCTTCCTTATGCTTTTTGATGTTTTATTTGTAATTGTGTAGATCTTGTGTCTCTAATCTCAGTCTCTGATTTCCTATGTCTGATAGTACATGGGAGTCGAAGTAACACTGTTCCTATGAATTCATCTACTACCTCTGAATCTGTTAGATCTTTTTCTGCCTTCTTTTCTACATAGACTTTTGATGCTTTTGGAATGGGAGAGAGGAAGTCGCATAATATCAGAAATAGAACTCACAAGCCTGCCAAGCATTTAGAAAGACCATACCTGTACATTCTTGTTTTATTTCCCAAATAGTGCATGATGGAACACCCCTGATTAGTGACATTTGATGCCCAGTTCCAATTGGTACATATAAGGGAGCCCACAGATTTTTACTAGTGAGATATGAGCTTGGTTTCTCAGCAAGGCTGCATAAGAGGTGATTAGATCTTGGGCTTGGTTACTAGGTGTTTTGAAGTTTTGAAGGGTCTACACTTGTTTTTAACATTTCGAGTATGTGGTAAAATGATCAATTTTACCAAGATTTTTTATAGTGCTGTTAGTTGCAATTTGCAAAGTAACAGAGCCTGGGGGGTGGGGTGATGAGTAGAAATAATAGGTATACTAATGGCATAGTAAGCAGTCAAGAGTTTAAAAGTGCCAAGAATCATTAATAAACTTTATTTTTATTTATTTATTTATTTATTTTTTGGTTTTTCGAGACAGGGTTTCTCTGTGTAGCTTTGCGCTTTTCCTGGAACTCACTTGGTAGCCCAGGCTGGCCTCGAACTCACAAATCCGCCTGCCTCTGCCTCCCGAGTGCTGGGATTAAAGGCGTGCGCCACCACCGCCCGGCAATAAACTTTATTTTTAAGAAGAGGAAGAAGAAGCCGGGCGTTGGTGGCGCACGCCTTTAATCCCAGCACTCGGGAGGCAGAGCCAGGCGGATCTCTGTGAGTTCGAGGCCAGCCTGGGCTACCAAGTGAGCTCCAGGAAAGGCGCAAAGCTACACAGAGAAACCCTGTCTCGAAAAAACCAAAAAAAAAAAAAAGAAGAGGAAGAAGAAGAAGGAGGAGGAGGAGGAGGAGGAGGAGGAGGAGAGAGAATATAACTTTTCAGTATTCCAGTATTTTGAAGTGCAGGACATTCCTCAGTGCAGCTCTTGTTCCATGTATGGTAGACTACAAAAGAAATGTGGAGGCACTGAGTTGATTCCAAAGTTTTCATCCAGGAGTCAAACAATCAAGTTTGAAAGTTTTGGGAGACAAGTGATGTCATCGGGGATAGGAAATTTATAGAGCTATGGCTTTCATAATCACAAGTTGTGTGTGTTCTCTGGGAAATATCCCTCAAGTTATTTTATTTTTTTCTGTTTATAGGCTACATCACAATGTAGATGGATATATCAGCAAGCTAACTGTTCTGAATTATGAAGAACTTGAAAATATTATTAGAATATACATATGAAAATATGACATATTACCTTCCCATCCAAATCTAGGACACAAGCATAGTGAATGGACAGTTACAATAAATACCCGAGTGTTTTGGACAGTTTGATTAACATTTTTAGCAAATTCCATAGCTGTTGCCTCCCATGGGCTAGTAGTTGTTCTCATAAACATGCACATTCATGTGGTTTACATGAAAAAAGAAAACAAAAATAGAGCAAGTACATGATTAAAGGATGGAGTAGTCCTTGAGGACTAATTATAATGATGGGAATGTAGTGAATTTGTTCAAAATTTCAATAATCACATTTTACTGAACAGGAAATTGTATGAATATGAATTGCAACTGTGAAACCAAAAGTAATGCAAAATGCATGCACACATGTGTGGAACCACACCAAAAATCAAACAGACAAATGTGCAATTGCTGAAGGTATATATGCATCATGAGTATTTCTTTCTGAAAGGAATTTATCAGATTATTGCTTAATCAACATGACACTTTAAACTATGATATGCAAATTGGGGATTTTAAGAGAGGGCTTCAAGTTCACCTCTCTATTTCAATACAAGCATTCCATTTCAAGCATTAATGTAAAACAACAAATACATGTGTGTGTGTGTGTGTGTGTGTGTGTGTGTGTGTGTGTGTGTGTGTGTGTTCATATGTATATATTCTGTTCTTGTAACAACTGAATTCAAGCATTTAATCATTTCTGTTGGGGAAGCTAACATGTAATATCAGAAACTGGCAGCAACAAGCAGCAACTGTAATCAGAGAATCACAGTCGTCCATCTGTAGGCAGAAACGGAGGATTTTGTGTAGATAGGCAGGCAGGATGTAGACACAAGCAGAGGGATAAATGATCACCCACCACTTGCCACAGGTTTTTTCCTTTTGATAATTGGAGTGAGAACTAAGGATCAATTATGTTTTTCCCTCTCATCCACTTTCAGTTTCGCTGCTTCTGCTGCTACAAGTATTCAGAGGGAGACAAGAATGAGTCAGCACCTCCTGTGTTCATCTCCAAGGTAACCTCAGGACATGCCTCCATTGCTGGAATTGAGATCACTTTCCTTATTGGTTCTTATTCTACAATGAATTTGAATGCACACTGTCCTTCAATCAGAAGCAAGGAGTGCTTATAAAAGCGACAGCATTGTGAGCTCTTACCCGTCAGGCTCTGGCCATATTCCAGGACACAGTGGGTCCTGGGTGTGGCCAAAGCCTGACGATACATTGGATAGGCAAGGCAGACTGCTCCTGACATGTACAGGATTCAGAGCCTGTGGAAATGCCAGCAAAAGCAGTGATTGCTTGATTCCCAGCCTTATAACTCCTAGTCACCTGCTCTGTCTCCTGTGCAGGAAGTAGCATCCTGCTTCTGAAACAACTGCTTCTCTGTTAAGATTTGATATTGCTGTGTCAGTCTTGAAATGTTGTATCATCTGTTAGGAAGGTAGTCCATTGCATACATTAGTATATGACAGATACTGGTAGATTCAGGTTCTTTCTTCCATCTGGGAAGGTACTGTGGGAACTATTATGGCATAGTGTGTGTTAACTACCAACCTCTAGAGTTTAGGTATATATTACTAAGTGACATTTGTTTAAGAAATCTTACCTATCACAAACGGCATGCTTTCACAATTAAATGTAGTGCAATAAATTAAGTTTTGATCACCCTGTTGAAATTTATCATCACAGATTAAACTCTCCCAGTTTGATTCGAAGTCCCCTTATATTTTTGGCATATTCAAGCCCTAGCCCTTTTGTTCTTTATTCTTACTCATTCCCCTTTATTTCACGAGGCCAGACATGAGATTTTTGCAAATCATTTATTTACTGGTGCTGATTGGATGACATTATATATTTACCTTCTAAATAATTCATATTCCAGACTTCTTGTTTCTTGGTTATAATTTGTTTGTTTGTTTGTTTCCTTTTTAGTGTGTTTTGTTGGATAAATGTGCAGATCTTGTCTCTGTAACCCCTGCCTATGAACTTCTCTGTCTTCTATACATTGGAGGCTAGCTAACACTGTTCCTACAGATTCATCTACCACCTCTGAATCTGTTAGATTTTTTTCTGCCTTCTTTACAACATAGAATATTGATGATTTCTGGGTTGGAGAGATGAAGTCAAGTAACATCACTAATAGTACACCCAAACCTGCCAGGAATATGAAGAGACGCCAATTGCACATCCTTGCTTTATTTCCCATCTAGTCCATGATGGAAGACCCTGGTTAGAGACATTTGATGCCCAGATACAACAGTAACATATATGGGAACCCAAAGACTTCTTATGTGAGATCCGAGCTTGCTTTACCAGAAAGGCTGCATAAGACGTGATTAGACCATGGGGCTGATTACTAAGTGTTTTGAAGCACCTACAATTCTTTATGACAATTGGAGATGGTGGTAAATTTATCAATTTTAATGACAGTTTTTATAGTGCTGTTACCTGCAGTTTGAAATTAGCAGAGCCAGGAGTGAATGAGTAAAACAATTGCTATATTAATGGCTTAGTAAGTAGTCAATAGAAGCTTCATCAGGCCAAGAAATGTTAAAATGACATTATTTTTTAAAAAGAAGAAGAAGAGATTACATAACTTTTCAGTATTTCAATATTTTGAAGTGTAGGATATTTTCCCAGTGTAGCCCCTGTTCAATGTATGAGGGATTACAAAAGAAGTGTGAAGATACTGGGTTGAACCTGTATTTTGATCTAGGAAGCAGACAGCCAGGTTTGAAAGTGATGGGAAAAAAGGATAGCATCAGAGATAGGAAATTTATGAAGTTATTACTTGCATAATCACAACACGTGGGTATTTTCTGAGGAATATCCATCAAAATAATTTATGCTTTCCTGAACATAGTCTACACCAAAATGTAGATGGATATATCAGCAAACTAACTGTTCAGAATTATGAAGAACTTGGAAATATTATTAGAATATACAAATGAAAATATGGCATTTTTATTCCCATCCAATTCTAGGACAAAGGCCTAGTGAATGGATAGTGAGAGTAAACACCTGAGTTTTACTGGACAGTTTGCTTAAGATATTCTGGGAATTTCACAACTGTGTACAAATAGTAGATGGACTTTTTAATTAAAGAAAAAACCTCAGAAGCTGATTTTGGGTAAAATTCTGATACATGGGAAAAACAAAAGAACAAGACACTGCCATGTCTCACTCTGCCAACTCCATGAATCCTTCGAATGAATGTCTCGGGTGTCCTTAGCCAAAAGCTATCCAGGTGAAAAGCCTCTAGTTCCTGTTTCCTCAGGCCTTAAATACCTTAGTGTGTACAGCCATCACTTCTTCCCTAGTGCTTCAGTTAATGGCATAAGTGCTTCCCAAATCCTGGGATTAAAAGTGTAAGATCTCAAGTGCAGGTATTAAAGGCAAATGACCACCAAGTACTAGAATTAAAGGTGTATTCCAATAATGCCTGGCTTTGTTTCTCTCTTAGACTGAATCAATCTTATCTAATCCTGCATAGCTTTGAAGGCTCAGAGATACACACAGATCTCTGCTTCCCAAGTGATAGGATTTCAGATGTTTGCCACCACTTCCTGGCCTCTATGTTGAATCTAGTGCCTTGTTCTGTGTTCTGATCTTCAGGCACATTCTTTAGGGTACACAATATATGACCACACATACCTGAGAGAGACACTATGTCTATCTAACTTTGATGTGCATCTCTGAATGACACTAAAATGTGATGGCCATTTAAGCATACCTGTACTCTTGAAACTGTATCAGCTGCATATTCATGCATAATTCTTTCACTATAAAATCCAGGGAACATTCTAGTGTATCTTGTGGAATAATGGTGAACTGAAAAATGTATGAGTGGCTTATATTTTTAGTAAGCTGATGAAATTGGAAAGATAGAATTTTTTCCACTATTTTAGCCCTGGTATTCTGCCCATGGGCTAGTAGTTGTTCTCATACCCATGCATACTCAGGTGCTTTACATGAACAGAGATATTCAAAAATAGAGCAAGTACATGATCAAAGAATGGAGTAGTGATTGCAGACTAGATGGAATCTAGTGAATGGTATGCAATGGATTTGTTCAAAATTTCAATAGTTACAAGTTAATACTGAAGAGGAAATTTTAAGAGTATGAAGTGGTACTGTGAAACCAAAATTAATTCCAAATGCATGCAGACATGTATAGAACCATACCAAAAATCAAACAGACAAATGTCCAATTGCCGAAGGTATATATGTATCATGAATATACTTTTTAAAAGGACTACATCAGATTATTCCTTAATCAACATGACATTGTAAGATACAATATGCAATTTAGGGATGTTCAGAGCAGTTCTTCAAAGTCATATCTCTATTTACAATACAAACATCCAATTTCAGGCACTATGTACACACACACACGCACACTCACACATATATGCACACATGTGAACACACACACACATACATATACATATAGCTCATGTCACAACTGAATTTCAAGGTTTTAATCATTTCTGTTGGGGAAGCTAACATGTCATATCAGAAACTGTTAGCAGCAAGAAGCAACTGACAGCAGAGAATCACAATCGACAATCTCTAGGCATAAACGAAGGCTTTCATGTAGATAGGCAGGATGTAGACACCAGCAGAGGTATAAATGATCACCCCCGACTTGCCACTGGTTGTATTTTTCTTTTTGATAATTGGAGTGAGGAATCAGGATCAATTACGTTCTTTCCCTCTCGTCCACTTTCAGTTTTGCTGCTTCTGCTGCTACATGTATTCAGATGGAGACAAGAATGAGTCAGCAGCTCCTGTGTTCATCTCCAAGGTAACCTCAGGATTTGCCTCCATTGCTAAAATTGATATCACTGTCCTTATTGGTTCTTATTCTCCGATGAATTTGAATGCTCACTTTCCTTCAATCAGAAGCAAGGAGTGCTTATAAAAGAGACAGCATTGTGAGCCCTTACCAGTCAGGCTCTGGCCATATTCCAGGACACAGTGGGTCCTGGGTATGACTAAAGCCCGACTATACATTGGATAGACAAGGCAGACTGCTCCTGACATGTACAGGAGTCAGAGCCTGTGGAAATGCCATCAAAGGCAGGAATTGTTTGATTCCCAGGATTATAACTCCTAGTCACCTGCTCTGTCTCCTGTGCAGGAGGTAACATCCTGCTTCTGAAGCAACTGCTTCTCTGTTAAGATTTGATATTGCTGTGTCAGACTTGAAATGCTGTATCAGCTGTTAGCAAGGTAGTCAATTGCAGACCTTAATATATGACAGATGCTAATCGAGTCAGGCTCCTTCACCTTGGGAGGATACAGTGGGAACTACTCTGGCATTGTCAGTGTTCACAAGAAACCTTAGAGTCTATGAATATATCGTGCAGTGACATTTGCTTCTGAGACCCTACCTGTCACAAAATGCAGGCATTCACAATATAATGTATTGCAAGATATTAAGATGTTATCATCCTGTTTTCATTTATACTCACAGATTCAACAATGCAAGCTTGATTTGCATTCTCCTTGTATTTTGGCATATACAAACTGTAGTTCTTTTGTTCTTCTGTCCTACAAATCCTGTTTCTCCTTATGTCATCAACCCAGTCCAGAACTTTGTTGGAAATCAATGATTTACTGGTGCCGAGACGATGGTATTACATATTTCCCTTCTAAGTTATTCACACACAAGATGACTTTGTTCTTGATTATGATTTATTTGTTTGTTTGTTGTGTAACTGTGCAGATCTTGTCTCTGTAACCTCAGCCTCTGAATTCCTATGTCTTATCATACATTGGACACTAGATAGCACTGTTCCCACAGATTCATCTACCACCTCTGAATCTGTTAGATTTTTTTCTACCTTCTCTTTGACATAGACTATTTATGCTTTCTGGGTGGGAGAGATGAAGTCAAGTAACATCACACACAGTATAGCGAAGACTGACAGGCATATAGAAAGAACCCTCCTGCACATTCTTGCTTTATTTCCCAAATAGTGCATGATGGAACACCTCTGATTAGAGACATTTAGGCCAACCTCGAAAGGGGACATGCACGGGAGCTTACAGAGCTTTGCTAGTGAGATCTGAGCTTGCTTTACTAGCAAGACTGAAAAAGAGGTGATTAGACTATGGGATGATTACTAAGTGATTTGAAGCCTATACACTTGTTTTTAACAATTGGAGATGGTGGTAAATTTATCAATTTTACTGACATTTTAATAGTTCTGTTAGCTACAGTTTTAATTAATGGTGCCCAGGGATTTGAGAAGAAATTATAGCTGTATTAATGGCTTAGTAAGCAGTCAATAGAAGCTTCTTCATGCCAAGAAGTGTTATAATGACATGATTTTTAAAAAGAAGAAGAAGAGAGAACAGAAGTTTTCAATATTCTGAAATTTTGAAATGCAGGACATTCCTCAGTGTAGCTCTTGATCCATGTGTGAGGGATTACAAAAGAAGTGTGGAGATACTATGTTTTTATCTAGGAAGCATACAACCACGTTTGAAAGTAGTGGAAAAAAGGATAGTGTTAGAGATAGGAAATTTATGAAGTTATTACTTGCATAATCACAACACGTGGGTATTTTCTGAGGAATATCCATCAAGGTATTCAATATTTTCCTGAATATAGTCTACACCCCAATGTAGATGGATATATCATCAATCTAACTGTTCAGAATTATGAAGAACTTGGAAATATACAATATACAATATACAATTGTACAAATGAAAATATGGTATTTTGTATTACTATGCAACTCTAGGACAAAGGCATAGTGAGTTGATAGTTACAGTAAAATATCTTAGTTTTACTGGACAGTTTGCTTAACATATTCTGGGAATTTCATAACTGTTGTACAAATAATAGATGGGCTTTTAATTAAAAACGAAAAATTGGAAGCTGATATTGGAGTAAATTCTGAACATGGGAGAAACAAAAGAACAAGACACTGCCAAGTCTCACATTGCCAAATCCATTAATCCTCTGAATAAATGTCTCAGAGTCCTTAGCCAAAAGTTATCCAGGTGAAAAGCCTCTAGTTCCTGTTTCCTCTGGCCTTATATACCTTAGTGTGCCCAGCCATCACTTCTTTTCTAGTGCTGGGATTAATGGCATATCTGCTTCTCAAATCATGGGATTAAAGTTGTGAGATGTCAAGTGCAGGTGTTAAAGGAAAATGACCACCAAGTACTAGAATTAAAGGTGTATTCCAATAATGCCTGGCTTCATTTCTCCCTTAGACTGAGTCAGTCCCATGTAGTTCAGGGTGTCTTTGGAGGCGCTGAGATACACACAGATCTCTGCCCCTCAAGTGATAGGATTTCAGGTGTGTGCAACTACTTCCTGACCTCTACGTTGAATCTAGTGGCTTGTTCTGTGTTCTAATCTTCAAGCACATTCTTTCGGGTACACAATATATCATCACATATACCTGGGAGAAATTCTACGTCAATCTGACTTTGTTCTGCACCTTGCCTGCCACTAAAATGTGATGTCTATTTAAACATACCTGTACTATTGAAACTGTGTCAGCTGCATATGCATGCATAATTCTTTCACTCTAAAAGCCAGGAACATCTAATGTATCCTGTTGAAGAATGGTGAAGTGAAAAATGTATGAGTGGCTTACATTTTTTAGTAAGCTGACAAGTTTGAATTATAGATTTTCTCATGTATTCTAGTCCTGGTATTCTGCCCATGGGCTTGTTGTTCTCATACCCATGCATACTCAGGTGCTTTGCATGAACACAGATAACCAAAAATAGAGCAAGTACATGATCAAAGGATGGAGTAGTTTTTGCACAGTAGAAAGACTCTAATGAAGGGAATGCAGTGAATTTGATCAAAATTTCAATAGTTACATGTTAAATCTGAAAAGGAATTGCATGAATATGAACTGGCACTGTGAAACCAAATTAATGCCAAATGCATGCACACATGTGGAACCACACCAAAAATCAAATAGACAAATGTGGAATTGCTGAAGGTATATATGTATAATGAATATGTCTTTCTAAAAGGAATACATCATATTATTACTTAATCAACATGACACTGTAAGATATGATATGCAAGGTCTGGATGATCAGAGCAGGTTTTCAAAATCACATCCTTATTTTCAATACAAACATTCAATGTCAGGCACTATGCATATAAACACACACACAGACACACAGACACAGACACACAGACACAGACACACACACACACACACACACACACACACACACACACACACATATATATATATCATATCACAACTGAATTTCAAGCCTTTAATCATTTCATTTGGGGAAGCTGACATGTCATATCGGAAACTGTCAGCATCATGCAGCAACTGGCAGCAGAGAATCACAGTAATCCATCTCTAGGCAGATAAGGAGGCATTGTGTAGATAGGCAGGATGTAGACACCAGCAGAGGGATAAATGATCACCCCCGACTTGATACTGTCTTTTTTTTTCTTTTTGATTATTTGGGGAGAACATAGGAACAATTACGTCCTTTCCCTCTCATCCACTTACAGTTTTGCTGCTTTCGCTGCTTCATGTATTCAGGTCTGAGACCAGAATGAGTCAGCAGCTCCTGTGTTCATCTCTAAATTAACCTCAGGATTTGCCTCCATAGCTGGAATTGAGATCACTGTCCTTATTGGTTCTTATTCTACGATGAATTTGAATGCACACTGTCCTTCAATCAGAATCAAGGAGTGCTTATAAAAGAGACAAGCCTGACTGCCATATAGAAAGACCTCACCTGCACATTCTTGCTTTTTTTTCCCAATTAGTGTATGATGGAACACCTCTGATTAGAGACATTTGATGCCAATATTGAAAGGGTACATATATGGGAGCCCACAGAGTTTTGCTAGTGAGATCTGAGCTTGCTTTACCAGCAAGGCTGCATTAATATTGATTAGACTATGGGCCTGATTACTACGTGTTTTGAAGCATCTACACTTGTTTTTAACAATTGGAGATGGTGGTAAATTTATCAATTTTACTGACATTTTTATAGTTCTGTTAGCTGCAGTTTTCTAATTAACAGAACCAGGGGGGTATGAGTAGAAATAATAGCTGCATTAATGGCTTAGTAAACAGTCAATAGAAGCTTCATTGTGCCAAGAAATGTTATAATTACATGATTTTTAAAAAGAAGAAGAAGAAGAGAGAACATAACTTTTCAGTATTCTGATATTTTGAACTGCAGGACATTCCTTAGTGTAGCTCTTGATCCATGTCTGAGGAATTACAAAAGAAGTGTGGAAATATGTTATCTAGGAAGCAGACATCCAAGTTTGAAAGTGGCTGAAAAAAAGATATAGTCAGTGATAGGAAATTCATGGAGTTATTGGTTGTATAATCACAACATGTGTGTGTTTTCTGAGGAATATCCATCAAGGAACTTTATGTTTTCCTGAACATAGTTTACACCCCAATGTAGATGGATATATCAGCAAGCTCACTATTCAAAAGTATGAAGAACTTGGAAGAATTATTAGAATATACATATAAGAATATGACATTTTGCATCACTATCCAATTCATGGAAATAAGACATAGGTAGTCGATAGTTAATGTAAAATACCTGTGTTTTAATGGACAGTTTGCTTACAATATTCAGCATGTTCCATAACTGTTGTACAAATTGTAGATGGACTTTTAAATAAAAAACAAAACAAACAAACAAACAAAAACAAAAACAGAAGCTCATATTGGGGTCAATTATGACAGATGGGAGAAACAAAGGAACAATCCATTTCCATGTCTCATTTTTCCAACTCCATTAATCCACTGAATGAATGTCTCTGAGTAT